TTAGTCCTCAAGCTGACATCTCTGCTCTTCAATACTTTAAAAAGTTCCTGTGCAGCAGATTTGCTCAATGCAAGATGTAAATGGTAAAGTAGAGAGTCAGTGAAAAAGAGAAGACCCCCAGTGAGATGGATTGGTACAGTGGCCACAATAATGAGCCCAAACAACAGTTCTGAGAATCATACAACACTTCCTTCTGTTGTCCATAGGGTCGGTACGAGTCAGAACCGACTAGAAGGCACCTAACAACCTAGCCTGAACAATAACACTAGGAAGGCAGGCACTGCTTAGAATACCCAACCCATGTGAAATCAAAGGGTAGTATTTACCCATGGACAAATTCCAAAGGCAGCAAGGGTTACATAGCAAAGGAGGAATGAAAACTGAGAAACACAGGGAAGGACTGGGATGTGGGATATTACATGGTGGGGATTGTAATCAGTGACATGAAACAAAATACATATGAATTGCTAAATGGAAAGCCCAGTTCACAGTCAAAACTTGAAATCAATCAATCAATTACTACGTAGACTTTAAAGAAAAGTAGATTCGAGGTTGCCAGGAGCTGGAGGAAAGGGAATGAGGACAATCCCCAGCGAGTTCAGAGATTGTGTGGGGGTGATGACATGTTCAACAATTCTATGAATATACTTAATGTGACTGAATTACACATCTGGAAAACGGTTCGGATGCCACTGAACTGATCCCTACTCATGGTGCCCCCGTGTGTGTGTGTGTGTGTGTGTGTGTGTGTGTGTGTGTGTCTCAGAGAACTGCCCTCTACAGGGTTTTCAACTGCTGATTTTTTTCAGAAGTAAACTGCCAAATGTTTCATCGTGATAAGTGGAAAATCTGGGCAGACTTGAAAATTAAGAAAAGAGTAATCAAACAAGCAGGGGACAATTTAAAATCTAGATCAAAAGATGAGAAAGAGACCAGTCAAACACAGTGGCCAGCTGTTTTGCAATGGGGGAAGATGAAATGGCTTTGTCACGGGAGGGAGATGCAGCTGTGTTGGCACATCATTTTGCTTTGATTGTGTAGATGCTATCAGGATGGGGGGCCTGGGGTGGGGGCAGGTTGAGAGTTAAGTTGGGCTTCAGGAGAGGTTCTTGAGAAGGCTAGATCTGGGGGCTGGGGTGGGGGGCATCTCTGGGAAGAGCATCTCAAACCAAAGATCTGACAGTGTGGGACGCAGGGAGGTGGAGGGTCCTGTGACTGGGGCGGAGAGACCGAGTCAGAGAGCTAGGGGTGGGGGACAGATAAAGTCAGGCTTAAGGATTTCCTTGTTGAGGGACACTAGGGAGCAGAAGAGATGGTTGCCATCCTGACTCTGGAGTTACCAGTCTTCCTGTGGTTGAGAGACTTTGCTTTGCTTACTCTGGTATTCCTTCAGCTGTTTTTGTTGAAGAACGTTGGTTGTCCTCACAGGTAAGAACCAGCAGGGCTGAGATCCACATCTGTTCAACCCGAAAGACAGAGAGGAAGCAGGGTGTCCAAATACCTCCCAGGAGGGGTATAAAGCCCCCAAGGACCCACTCAGAGTGTGCCCCAGGACCTGGCCACACCTGCAGCCCCCTGACCACCCATGCCCACGGTAGGGCCAGTCCCACCAGGCCACGTCTGTCCCATGAGGCTCACTGTGTTCCCACCCCATGCAGCCGTCCCCCCAGCCTCCCAGGAGTCAGGAGTACCACAGGTTACAGATGGCGGCAGAGGCCCCAGGCTGCTGGTAAAAAGCCTAGGATTCTTCAGGCTCCCACTGCTGAGGCCCAAATTCCTACGATTTCCACTCAAGGACCCCTTATCTCAGCTTCTCCTGTGCCAGACGCTGTGCTCCACATTTTACAAATACTCACGGGTTTCAACAGCTCCACGTGCAATAGAAGCCGTATAGGTACGCCCCCATTTCACAAACAAGGACGCTGAGGCTCTGAGAGGTTGAGAAATTGACTAAGTTAACACAGACAAATGGGAAGCTGGGACTTGAACCGTCATTAAGGTGGCTGACTCAGAGAGTGAAACACTTCCCTAAGTCTGAGATTCTCCAGCCGAATGCCTAGAGTTATACTATTCTAAGGTTCTAGGAGTCCTGGTGTGGTGCTGTAGGATAAGGACTGGACCGCAAGGTCGGTGGTTCGAACTCACCAGCAGCTCCTCAGAAACCCTACATAGAGTCGCTATGAATCGGAACTGACTCAATGGCATTTCACAACAAGGTTGTGAAGAAGCTGTTAGGTGGTGCAAAAGGCTAACGTTGGGCTGCTAACTGAATGGTGAGTGGTTCAAGTCCACTCAGAGGTACCTCAGAAGAAAGGCCTGGTTATGTGCTTCAAACACAGTAGCTCTTGGTGGGTACTGTTCTCCTCTGACATGCATGGGGGAAATAATAGCCAATGATAATATGATAGCTGATGCCAGTGTTCCAGGGGGACCTGCAGGGGGTCCCCCCCCCGTCCCACACCACTTCACAGCTCCCCACCCAGACCCCACTAACCTGTCTCAGCATTGATCCCCAACTGCCCACTGTCCCCATTTCACAGATAAGAAAACTGAGACCAAGAAGAAAAAAAGACTAGCCCAACATTCCTGAAGAAAAGAGTCTTTAGGTGGGTGGCCTGGGGAAATGAGAGGCAGAGGAGGAGGAACTAGACATCCAAGGAGAGGGGTATCAGGAAGGGGTATTCCACAGAGATACGAGTCATCTTTGAGTCCCCACAGAACTCAGTCAGCTACTTGTCAAACTCCTTGTCCTATGTGTCAAACTCCTACTCATGCTTTAAAACCCCATCTCCCATGTCCACTCTGTGTGTATGTGAAGCCTTCTATTGTGAATTGAGTGAAGAGTTCCAGAGTAGATCATGATATGGTCAATAAATCATGCACTTTGTTTCATCTCAATGATTGTAACCCCCTCCTTGCAACAACAGTGACCCCACTTCCCCATGTCCATTCTCACACCAGGCCTTCTTTGGCTTCTCCAGCATGGTCTCCACTTCCTCCTCTTGTTTCTCCAGCTCCAGGCCCTTACTTGTGTCCTATCTGTAGCTGATCAGACGGGACCAGAAGAATTCGCTAGGGTCAGTGCTAAGGTATGTCTGGAAGCCAGCATCTCCTAGCTGGCCCAGAGGGCGTGGCAGAGAGACCCCAGTATGCTATTCTGCGCCTTATTAATTTATAGATTATACCTGCACAAGGAGATGGGCACCTATTGAGCACCAACTGCATGCTAGTCTGCATGACTTGGCAGGCCCAACCCAGGGCATTTCTTGCCATCCATTCTCTATTGTTCTATTATCTTCTCCAGTGCAACACCCCCCTCCACTTCTCTGAACCCCCAAATGCAAACCCCCTTCTCACCTCCACCTTCCTAACCCCACAATTGATCTGATTGCCACCCTCTTTCAACCATCAACAGGACTTTCCCCGCCGGCCTTTAGTTCTGCCAAAATCAATATTCCCTTTTGGACTAGCAACGACCCTCTCCTCGGAGGAGTCTACTTTGGTTCTCTTGGCCTCTCGCTCCCCTACACACACCTCAAAACCCGGCTGTGATTTCCTGGGAACGGGTTAGTCTGGGAGGCCCCTCCAAGTCGCAGAGAGGGGGCCTCATTCATACCTCCAAAGGATTGCAGCCAAACCAACTATTCCCCCACCCCCTCGACTGTGCAGAAGGCTAAACTGAGACACACAGGAGAGAGCTCCCTAGGGACCCTCAGCTGGGAGAAGTCTAGAGTCCCGGCGCCTCCCTGCCTCAGTTTCCCGTCGGTGGTCACAGGTGATGGGGTGCTCCGCCCTGGCGGAGATCGGCGGCGGCTTAGGGGGCTCCGGAAGTCGCCGCCGCAGGAATTCGGCGCTTCCCCGCCTTATAAGGACATTTGCACTTCGGGCCAATCAGCGGCGGGGGGCGTGGCGCCCGACCCGCGTCCCCAACCCGGAGCTAGCCCGCTGTCCGTCCCGTCCAGTCCGTTCGTCCCGCAGGCCGCCGCCGCCAGCCATGAGTTCCACACAGTTCAACAAGGGGCCCTCGTACGGACTCTCGGCCGAGGTCAAGAATCGGGTGAGTGAGGGGCGCGCCCGCTCGTCCCTGCCGGCTGCAACCGTCTCACCCCGACATCTGCGGGGGTCCGGGCGACGTGGCGGGGAGAACATCTGGGGGGCAATGAGATCCGGGACTTGGGGTAAGCCTAGCCCGCCTTTCCCCTTCGGGTGTCCAACCTCCAGGTAGTATCGGGGTGCTCCGTGAGGCTCCCCCAAACGTGTGGAGGCAGTGATGTCTGAGATCTGGGGAGAACGACTCACACCTCTCCCCAACTTCTAACAGCTCAAGTCTCCTGCCCTCACTCTGGGCCTCTGGAAGGTTTCACGGACTGAGAACGCCCTCTAGGCTTCAGGGAGCCCCAGCGAGCCCCCTCCACTCCCTCGGCTCCCTAGAGCCTCACTTCTGCTTTTGGGGGAGGGGGGAAAGGGGGCGGTGCCTGGGCTTTTTGCGACGGAATTTCCCAGCCTCACACCTGGGGGGGTGGGGCGGAAAGGGGCGGAGAGTGGGGATAAAAGTGGAGCTTTGAGGACCCCTCCTGTTCCCGTCTTCATTCTCTTTGTGTCCATTTATTGTTCTTAACTGCCATTGAGTCGATTCCGACCCATAGCGACTCTGTATAGGGTTTCCAAGGAGCAGCTGGTGAGCTTGAACCACCGATGTTGCATTTCAAACGCCTTTGCAGTCTGACGCATTAGCCCACAATGCCACACCAGGACTCTTTTGTGTCCATAGGAGGAATTTAAACAGACGCTTATGGGGTACCCCCCCAGTGATTTGTTACTTGGGCACACAAAGGGACCATGGGAGATCTGTATAAGAAACTAAGATGATTCTGGCCCAGAGAGGGGCAGTCACTTATGGAGGTTAACTCAGCATCCCAGAAAAGAAGGGGTGGTTACCCCCAGGGTCTTGGGGAGGCCCCAGGACTAACACCCACAGGCCCTTCCAGCTGGAAGGGTGCGTAGTCATCGCTGCCCATCCCCCGCACACCACAGGCACCTGGGAATGCGGCCTGAAGCCTGCCTGGGCACGCTGAGGGCACCAGTCCTACCACCCTGCATCAGGTACCTGCCCTGTCTGCTCCCCAAGGCCACAGACAAGGAGGAAACTGTCTGCATTCAGACCCGGTACTCAGAGGAGACACCCCAATGTATAGATGAGAGCAAAGGACAGGGTTCTCCCTCAAAGATGGCTTGCAGCCTTGGGTGGGGCGGGACTGGGGGGTGTGGGGATAGGGCACACCATGGCCCAGCATCATGAAATCTCTTAGGGACCCAGGTGCAGATGACGCTTGGAGCGGTAGCTTGAGCTACCCAGAACCGCATAGCCTGCAAGCTGAAATTCGAGCCCATGCCCATCTGGGCCCAGTGCCTGATGACCACTAGATTCTTTAAGCACGGGTCCCCACACCTCCCCAGAGACAGCAGGAAACGGGTGAGAGTATTGCAGCCCCAGCGGGCAGGGCCGCTTCTGGAAGGAGCTGGAGGCAGGTCGCCACCTGCTCAGACAGGGGATGAGGTCAGACACGAGCCGGGCCTCCAGGAGGCTTCCTGTGAGTAACCCTCAGTTTGCCGAGTCTGGAGAATGGGCCACATACCACTTAGAAACCTGCTTCCTGTGGCTGCATCTCAGTTTACTCCCCATGGTCAGCACGACGCAGGCCAGTGTCCAGTGTGCCTCTTGAGCAGTGTGGCCAGAGATGTCCCAGGCTGGAGGCGGGGGTGGGGGTGTCTAAACTGCTGGGCACAGCTGGTCCCGATTTAGCCAGGCAAGCAGCGGCTGCATTCCTGGTGGTTTGCGGTGACCAGGAATGCGCTCAAGGGCTGGTGGGGCAGCTGGAGGAGGAAGTCGGCTATGGTGGGTGGAGCTGGGCTAGGCGCCTCCACCCAGGACGCCTGGCTTCCTGGCCCTCACGAGTCGCCGGGGATAGGGCCCAGCTGGGCAGGGTGTTCGCCACCCTTTCTCATTCCCTAGGATGACAAAGTGAGATCTAAACAGGACAGCTCCCAAGGACCGTGGGAACTGGGAGGCCAAGCAAGGCCCAATGAAGTGACCTAGCGGGTGGACCAGCAGATGGGGTTAGCAGGCCAGCCTCCTGGCTTTGCCTTCCCAGAGCTCCAGTTGCCCCGCTCTGCTTCTGTGTCCTTAGGCTGAAGCAGCAAGGAGGAAGCAGGGGCCCAGTTTTGAGGTTCCCCCATGGCAATGATTCCAAACATAGATGGGACACTGGGGACGGGGCTGTGTAGGGAGTTGGGGCTGACTGGGAGGGGACATTGATGTGCCAGGGCAGCTCGGGTCTTTCCAGTCTTCTGGGGGAGGGAAGGAAGAGACGGGACCTCTCAGATGGGGGTGTGGGAGCTAAGGAGGCTGGATGAATCCCTGATACGCCTGCGCTCTGCCTTTTGACCTACAAATACCCACCTGGGTCTCCTGGCTCCTGGGGGCTTCCCTGGGCTTCGGCCATTCTTCCTGTCTCGTCTTCAGTGCCCCTCGTACAGGGAGAGGGGTGTGTTGCTCTGGACAGGGGACCCTGAATATATTCACCCAGCCATCCCAGCTCTGCAGACACAACGCTGAGCAGGATGCCAAAGCTCACAGGGGACATGGGCCAGCAACCAGGCCAGGGAGGGAGATAAAACAGGGTTCCGGAGAGAGGGATGCTGGATGCAGGGCGTCTGGGAAGGCTTCCTCGAGGAGGTAACCTTTGAGCTACCACTGATGCAGGCTGGGACTGAGCTGTGCAAACCGCTGAGTCAGCTGAGACCACGTGCAAAGGCCCTGGGGTAGGAACTAGCATGGAGGGTGAAGAAAGGAGAGAAAGGTTCGATTAGTCCTCCGTAAGTACCCACTCCTGATTATCCAAGAGGGCTTCAGAAAGTTCGTGGAAAAACGGAATTGAAAGATAATGGAACTTTTCCTTGAACTTTTTGAAGCCCCCTCACGTATGATCCAGCAATCCCACTCCTGAGTGCACTAGCGTAGAATTGAAAGCAGACATTCAAATAAAACTTGTACACAGATGTTCATAACATCACAATAGTCAAAAGGTGTCCATCCACTGATGAATGGATAAGCACCATGTGATCGTTCATACGATGGACATGAAGAGGAATGAAGTTCTGATACAGGCTCCAACACAGACCTAGAAAACATGCTGGATGAGAGACGCCAGGCACAAAAGGCCACATGGTGTCCCATTCCATTTGTACAAAATGTCCACAGCAGACAAATCCGCCGAGAGAGAGTGACCTAGTGGTGGTCAGGGGCTAACGGAGAGGAAGGTGGGAAATGACTGCCTAACTGGTATGGGATTTCCTTTTGGGGTGATGAAAAAGTTCTGGAATTCGACAGGGGTGATGGTTACACAACACTGTGAATGTACTTCATGTCGCTGAATTGTAAACTTTAAGATGGCTTAGCTGGTAACTGTTATGTGTATCTTCTGGCAAGATTTTAGAAAGCAAACGAAAAGAAGAGAAGGGTCAGTGTATTTATCTAGTGCAGGAAGAATAGCCCAGACGAGAGGACATTGGGGTGGCGGAGGGACACATCTTGTTGGATTTGGTGCTGGGGTTTGGTACCATGGGAAATAAGTTAGAGCAGACGTTTATGAATGAGAGACGCGTGTGATTTATCTGTACCAGTGAACAATGAAGGAAGAGGGAAGGCCACTTGGGGACAGTGGGACCTGTGTCTCTTCTTCACTGTGCATTTCCTACCCCTAATCAGAGGGTTCTTGCTGGGTGTGATCTCAGCCCAACTCAGCCCTGTGCCTCTTCCCCTGCCCCACCCAGCTTCTATCCAAATATGACCCTCAGAAGGAGGTGGAGCTCCGCAGCTGGATTGAGGACCTCACGGGTCTCTGTATTGGTCCCGACTTTCAGAAGGGCCTCAAGGATGGAATTATCTTATGCACGTGAGTACATGGATTCGATACCTCATGTTCCACACAAATAATGCCCTTCCAAAGCTTGCGTGCTTTCTCCCTCTTCTTTCTTTCTTGAGTTCTGGTGTGGCCCTGTGGGTTAATGCGCTGGCTGAACTGCAAAGTTGGCTTGAACTGCGAGGTCTGTGGTTCAAGCTGACCAGCCACTCACTCCTCGGAAAGCCTATACAGGGTCACCATGGGTATGGGTCAGAACCGACTCAGCAGCACTTAACAACTATGGCTTTGTCTAGCATCTCTGACAGTGAGCATCCGTATGTTAATGCCCCCGGTTCATGGGAGAGCATCTAATGTGTCTGGAGACTTTTCCGAGGCTCTTCATATTCCATGATCGGCCAAACATTCCGTGCTTTTGCACATTGTGACTTTTAATGAAAATTCTCAAATTTGCTTTCAAAAATCTGTAGTTCTAAATTATACTCCCAACATCGTTTATTGTCTGCCTTGGACACCTTTGCTCATTTGGCAGGTGAGAGATTACATGAAGGGAAACCAAGGTTCAGAGAGAGACGGTGAAGTTGCCCAAGAAGGCCTGAGCTTGTCCAAGACAAGAACTGTCGTCTCTTGCCTCTGGGACTTGGGTCTCTGAGCTTCTCCTCCCCTAATGGAGGTTTCTTGTCCCCTACCCTGTCTCCCCAGACTCATGAATAAGCTGCAACCTGGCTCAGTCCCCAAGATCAACCGCTCCATGCAGAATTGGCACCAGGTGAGGAGGGGCGGGGATGGGGGAGCCTCACCTGACAGGTGAGTATCGTGTGGTCACTTCATGGACCTCTTCCCTCCTTCCAGCTAGAAAACCTCTCCAACTTCATCAAGGCCATGGTCAGCTACGGCATGAACCCTGTGGACCTGTTTGAAGCCAACGACCTGTTTGAGAGTGGGAACATGACCCAGGTGCAAGTGTCTCTTCTCGCCCTGGCGGGGAAGGTGAGGCTTCAGAGAGGGGCAGCGACCTGCCCAGGTTCACACAGCGAAGGAGTTGTAGATTCACTCATGCTGTTTGTTCACTTATTGGCAAACATAAGACTGTGGGGCACTTTGGATTCAATGGTAAACTGGACAGACAGCCCCCCGCCACCCACGTCATGGACGCACAGTCTGATGGAGAAAGCAGACGTCAAACAAATAATTTTTTCCTTATTGTTGTTGAAAGTATGCACAGGAAAATATATGCCAATTTGAAATTTCTCCATGTACAATTAGTAACTTTGATTACGTTCTTCAAGTTGTGCAACCAAGTCATTTCTTCCCTTTAATATGAACTCACTGTCCCCTAAGTGCCCTATCAGATGTTCCTTGTGGCTGTTCGCAGTTTGACCCTACAGACAGTCAAAAGAACACAAGGATCAAGGCAAACACTCTTTAGGAAATACGCTCAACTTGTTTGGTTTTGAGACAACTTCAGGGGATATTTTTGGCTTAATATTTAAAGATTATGTGAAGACAACAGTGTTGTTGTTGTTGTTGTAATGTGTTGTGGAGTTGGTTCCGACCCATAGCAACGCTGTACAGGGTTTCCGAGGCTGTAAATCTTTATGGGAGCAGAAAGCCTCAGTTTTCTCCCGCGGAACAGCTGGTAGATTCGAACTGTTGACCCTGAGATTTGCAGCCCAATTCGTAACCGCTACGCTACCAGAGGGGTTTATGCAGATTCCGTGACTCCAGACGTTCTGGATTCCATGAGCATTTGGAATTCCAATTGAACAAGTCATTGTGTATCTCAATTGGAAGAAGTGCTTTGAAGGAGAAGCGAGAATTAGAGCAGTGTGGTCCGAGCAGACTTCTTGGAGACCAGAAGACTGAGTGGAACAGTGTTGGAGCTTGAAGAGGGAACAGTTGTGTCATGGTAACTGGCTTAGAGTGTTGGAGGAGCGGGAAAGAGGTTTTGGGGTCTGGGAATTGTGCTCTGAGTGGTAGTGAAAACGCTTCCTGATGTTGCTACCTGGAGCAGGAAGACCAGAGTGAAGCCAGGGGCAGGGGAGCAGGGTGCTCATGGTGGCAGCCTGCACCAGGATGGCTGGGGTGGGGAGGAGATGATGGGACTCAGGAATGGATAGACGAGGAAGGTGAGAAAGGAGGCAAGGCTGCCCCAGAACTCTTGGCCGGAAACTAGGCTGGTCTTCCCTGAGGTGGGTTAGGCAGGGCACCACTCCCAGCTCTCTCATGGGACGGTTGACTTGGAGATGTTTCCTCATAGGTGCTGGGTGGCAGGTGGAGGGTGCAGAACCTCGAGGCTGGGGTTGCATGCTTTGTCCTGGGTCAAGTGGTCCCCACTTGAGACTCCCAGCCCCCTTGCCTTCTCCTCTCCACCCTAGGCTAAGACGAAGGGGCTGCAGAGTGGCGTGGACATCGGCGTCAAATACTCGGAAAAGCAGGAGCGGAACTTCGACGATGCCACCATGAAGGCGGGCCAGTGTGTCATTGGGCTCCAGGTGGGCACCAGAGTCTCCTACTCCCCAGGGATGAACTCTGGTCACGACCAAGCCCTGGGCCCCTCAAAGCTGGACAGTGACCGCCTAACATCCCCTACCCTCCCCTTGCAGATGGGCACCAACAAGTGTGCCAGCCAGTCTGGCATGACAGCCTATGGCATGAGGCGCCACCTCTATGACCCCAAGAACCATATCCTGCCACCCATGGACCACTCGACCATCAGCCTGCAGATGGGCACCAACAAGTGTGCCAGCCAG